AAAAGCCTTAAAGACCCACAAAGACCTGAAGGATAAATTGGCTTTGGGCACTTCAAATAAGGAGAAATAAGACTGTAGGTTTTTCCTATACAGCAAGAATCGTTTATTCTTAGAATTAATGCTGAATCCTTTAGCTTGTTTACTGTCGGCTGCCATTGGAGGCTTACAAAAGAACCAGGTTTCCTTGAAATGAAGAAAAATAGATCAAAGGAAAGGTCATGCATCTCTAAAACAAGATAAAAAAATTGAAGACTCTTCCGCAAGATTAGGCTGCCTTTTTATTATATCTAGGGTGACTGTTGCTTAAATGGGAACAGAAAAGCCTGAGTTCTGATCTCAGAAAATAGTTCTGCAACCCCAAGGGAGGTAAACAACTCTGTTTTCTGCAGGTTAAATCCAATTGTGAAAAATCTATCAGAAAGAAGAGCTAAGTTTGAGGAGGTGATTTTTTTAAATCTTTTAGAGATGCAGGACTTGAGCAGACATTTCTGCTTAATAAGATAATCTATTATTATTATAATATCAGTTCTAGGCAAAGCTTGGGGGCGAGAAAGGGGGAAAAGGAAAATTTCACAGGTATTATTGTCTGCTTTAATGATACAATGATGTAAATCATGGTTTAACAGAACTAGTTCTTCAAGAATTATGGAAGTGGCTCTCAAAAAGACTACACAAGGTTGATCAAAGTAAATTTTAGGTCTCTTGGGTGTAGCGCTACATGACTCTAGACTTGATAATCTTAAAATGTTCTACACTAACAGTGGATCATATGCTAGTCCACAGTCAGAGTTCATAACTACATATTAGAGTAACTAACTGTGTAGAATATGACCTGTAAATCTGGAGACAACTGGAAGTTTCACGCTGTGGCAGAACTAGTGCAATTCTGTCCCATTCACACATGCAGCTGATAACTAGATTGGCATTTTTGTTTTACCAGCTCAATATTGGAATACTTGCGTGTAATTCCATATTTAAAATGAGCTGTTTGTTATCAACTACTGGAAACACCTGGTTTAGTGGATTAAAAAGACAGAGGTAACAATTAGCATATGCAGTTTCAAGAGGGAGCATCTGATTCCCCCAGATGTTCTCATGATGGGGAGAATAGTACATGGCTGTAGCAGATTTCAGGAGGGACCTTAAAAAATATGAACACTTTCCTGGAAGAAGTGTGCCTGACAACTTACATGGGGTTTGATGCAGTGGTAACTGGATTGAACCTTCTGACCAGGTATAGTCAAACTTGCTTGCTTTTGCTGTTACACTCTGCTAATGATCTTGATATCTGTGGAGCTGGGACACTAAAATAACTGGAAAAAAAATAAATAAAATGTAAGTCACTGATTTTTGTAACAGGAGCTGGTTTCCAGTGGCATAAACCAGCATTTGCTGGTTGGCTTTCTAAATGGTAAGGGTGAATATTGGCCTGAGATTACTAAATGTTCTGTATCTATTGATGTTGTTTTTTCAGCATGGGAGGGGAAGAATCAAAGGGAAGGAGGCATCAAAGTTCAAAGACGTGGCCAGGAACACTGATATGCTCAGGATAACTCTGTGTTGTTTGTTAGGATGCTTACTTCTGAAAACTTGTGGTTTATATGGACTGTTAACTATAAATACTTATGTGTCTTTTATGTGTTAGTTATTTTCTAGTGGATTCAGATGGTAAAATTGTGACTCAGCAGGAAGGAATATTCCGCAGTAACTGCATGGATTGCCTTGATCGGACTAATGTGATCCAGAGCTTGTTGGCACGCCGATCTCTTCAGGCCCAGCTTCAGGTAAATATTTTATTCTTGTTCAATAAGCTGGAAGAGGAGAGATGCTTTTCATTTGGAACAGAAATGTCATTTTAACACTACAGCGAGAGTTTGCATATTGGAGTTACTTACTCTACTGTTTACTTGAAATGCATTGACAGGACTCTAGTTTAATAGATACAGCTGTTTCTGAAAGCAAATCCTAATTTTTCTAGCAAACTACTAGTGAGCCTCAATATGCTTTTTGTTTCAGAGGCTAGGTGTTCTGCATGTTGGACAGAGAATTGAAGAGCAAGCAGACTTTGAGAAAATCTACAAAAATGGTAGGCTGTTCGTACAGTTCAGACAATAACTTTTTTCCAAATAGGGTACATAACTTCCTTAATATTTCTTAATGTCTTCCTATCCACAGCATGGGCTGATAACGCTAATGCTTGTGCCAAACAATATGCTGGAACTGGTGCCTTAAAGACCGATTACACAAGGTGAGTCAGCATTTCTTGTAAAGGCCTTCTGGGTTTTTGGGCATGTTTGGAATTTTCTTTAAGTCTTCATATCTGAGAAAGTTATTAATCTGGGGCTTAGTCCATAAATGAATTATTTTACCGGGGTTCAGTTGGCAAAATGTCAGAGTAAAATCTACGGAACACCATTCTTCACTGTGTTTATATGGAAGAAGAAAAGGCTTTCTGAAAATAAAACCAAAGAAGTGTGTTGTGAAGAGGCACGTTTATACTGTGTGATGGACACAAGTGCCATTTTATTTTGAAACTTTGTTACAACCATGCTTAATAATAATGCAGAGGGAGCACTAGATAAATGTATTTCCTTGCAGGTATTCATTTAACACAGTACACATTTGGACAGTGATGGGACTGTAAATCTGAAATTATCTTCCTGAATTTATTGATCTGTTTGAAATACTTTTCACAACTTATTTTTGCAGAACTGGGAAGAGAACTCAGTGGGGCTTAATAATGGATGGCTGGAACTCATTAATACGTTACTACAAAAACAATTTTTCTGATGGATTCAGACAAGTAAGTTACGTTTTTAACTGTGGGGAAGGGTACTTGATAAACGTGGCTGTGCATTTTAACTTTTGCCCTCCCTTTTTCCTCCAGGATGCGATTGATCTTTTTCTTGGAAATTATTCAGTGGATGAAGTGGAACCTGCTAGTCCTTTACATGTCAAGAAAGATTGGAAGTTTTTAGCTGTGAGTATGGAGACTGCATTCATGATTGGGGAAATGTGTACAAGCATTTAGTAGTCACTTGCTTCACATGACTAAGTAGTACTTGTCTATTTAGTCACGAAGCATGCCTGTAATCTGGTTATGTTTCTGTAACGCCTGCTTGTAGGATTAAACCCAAACTGTTCCTCTGACAGAAAATGGAGTGTCCTTGAGGTACTGGAAAAAACTGCTGCTTGCTTTTTTTAAAATCTGCTTCATCAAGTGGAAAGGGGGAAATTCTACTGATCACCATCCATGACTGTTTCCTTCTGCAGAAGAATCTTGTGAAGATTTTTTCTCACACTTCATGCAGAAGCGTAGACTAACAAAAACCCCACTTTTTATTCTTCTTTTCACCCTTCCTCTTCTATTTTGTGAAATGGGATTTGGGGACATGAGTTTCACTAGTAGCTGGTGTTTGGAGTTCTGGGGTTTTCTTTTTAACAAAACACAAATGTCAGTCTCTTTTAATGTGCACAGAAGGTGTATTTTAATTCTTAACATGATTTGGAAAGTGTTCAGTAACTTTGGAGTTATCCAAACTTTTATTTGTACCTGAAAGTAGGTGAATTTAGAATCAAAGCACCTTCATTGTAAAGCAAGTAAATAGGTTTGCAGCACAACTTATCTTGAAGAAAATTAAGAAATAAATGTGCTGCTATATCAAGTGATTATTCTTTTTCTCTTTCCTCAGTTGCCTATTATTATGGTGGTTGCTTTCTCCATGTGCATTATTTGTTTGCTAATGGCTGGTAAGTCACCATTGATTTTTAATTCCATAAAATTGACTTGTTTCTGTGTGAGCTTCGTGTAAATGGTTACCAGTAACTATTCAGTATAACATTGCTGATCCTGAGATCAGCTCAGTTGTTCAGAGCATGGTGCTAATGACAGCAAGGTTGTGGGTTTGATCCCTGTACGAGCCATTCACTTAAAAGTTGGGGCTCGATGGTCCTTGTGGGTCCCTTCCAACTCACAAGATTCTGTGATTCTGCTTCTCAGTCATTCTAAAAAATGTTTGAAGATGAGCACGAAGTCAGTAATGTGGAAAAAACTTGAGGTGCTATAGGAAGCAATGTTAAAACTTGTGTAGAAGTTGCTTAAGGGTCAGTTAATTGTCCCCAAATTTAGTTGCATCTGAGGAGACATCTGGCTTTATTATAGGCTGGATGAATCCCCAAAGGAATACCTGTGCAGTTTTGGGCAGAAATACAGTTCAAAGCGGTCAGGTATGGGCATAAGCCTGTTCTGGTGGATGTTCCCTTAATCTAAATCTGTGTTGGGAGTGGTGAAGGTTTTTGCCTTCTCCTTTTTCCTTGAATTTTCCAACATTAGTGCTAGTAGAGTTCTTGACTGACTTCCTTAGATGTCTGTTCGATGTGTTCCAAGAACTGTGTGGCAAACAATTTTCCTAGGTAAGGAAATAGTGAAAGACCTGTGGAAAACTTCTGACTTCATTTAACAGCAGATCTCTGAGGGAAGCCTTGAAATATTTTGCTTTTGGACTGAAATAAAACTCTGGTAATTCAAAATAATGAACTAAAAGGTTTATCTGATTCTTCTTTGCAGGTGATACATGGACTGAGACATTGGCCTATGTGCTTTTCTGGGGAAGTGCAAGCTTTGGAACTTTTGCTATCATCCTTTATAATGGCAAGGATTTTGTAGATGCACCCAAGCTGGTCCAGAAAGAGAAGATGGACTGAATTTGTGTGTGTGGAAAGCGGCTTGGTACTGAGGATTCTTCAAGCCACACCTGGAGTCTCTACTGACCTGCTTTCCACACCAATTAGTGTTCTCTTGGACATTCTTCCTTGGCATTGGTGGGGTGGGGGTGAGGAAACCATGTCCTGTGGTGGTGGTAGCTTTCAACTGAGACCTGACTTGACGGTCTTAGTTGCAATGGTCTTTGGAATATTGCATTAGTGGACAGGGCTCCACTCTTACAGGGGTAATGCAGAGACAAAAGTCAGCTTTTTGGTGTCTGGAGCGTCTTAAAGCTTAAGTCGACTGCGTAAGCTCATGGTCCAGCTGGGCTGTTCCAGCTGCTTTTTCTGGTCTTGACAGGAGAGAGCTCTGATGCTGTTCATGTGTCAAAGTACCCAAATGTTGAAGCATTAATAATGGAGCATCTAATAGTGGTCTCTGAACAAATATGGCTTTGTACCAATGAAAAGTCTAGGTCCAGACTTGAAGCTGGATTACATTTGTTGTAATAGAGTCCATGTTAAGGAGTCCTTCGTGCATATTTGTGTGTGGATTCTTTTCACTAAATACAAAAGGTTTTTTGAATTCTAATGCTATTCTAAAGTGAGGTTTTTGTCCTGTCTTGTCTATCTAGAACTGATGCAATATTCTGCTAATCATTGTTGGGTGAAAGGGCAGTGTAATTGGATGTTCCTGAAGTTGCAAATGTCTTGCACTGTTTCAATACTACAGTCTCCATATGAAAATTCAGTAGTTAGCGAGTTAAAATATAGAATTTTCTTTCTAAAGATGTAAACGGAATCAAAGAATGTAAAAGTCCTTTGCAGTGTTTATTGAACCTTCCTTATGCTAAAGTTCCAAAGTATTCCGTTACTTTTAAGAATGGGTTACAATATAAAAGGTGAACTTCATATTGTTTTGCTAGTCAGCTGCTTCTATCCTTGGTTATATTGAAATAATTTATCAAAGAAGGAATAACAACCTGAGGAGAAACGTTCAGTCTAAACTCCGTGTTTGCACATGGGAGCAGCAGCTTGCTTTTCATGCATGATACTGTAACACACACTTTAAAAAATAAAAAAAAAAAAAAAGGAGGAAAAAAAAAAGCTACCGACTAATTCATGCTGGTTAATATGTCTTTAAATTTAGTGCTTCCAAGCTGTATAAAAAATAAGGACCAATTTTAAGCTATTTTGTCACTTAATTTTATATGGTTTGTTCAGAACCAGACATGGAACTTGCTTAAGGCGCTCTGCATTGTTTAATATTTCCTGTAAGTACAGCTGTATATTCAGATTGCGAGTATAAAATTTAAATGGGGGGAAGGGAGAAACATGTAGAATACTACTAGGACTAGCACAGTTGTCACTATTGAAGCTAGAACACAAAACACTGATACTCCAGTGTTCCCTTGTGTTATGACTGAAAATATGTACAGGTTTTTTGTTTTGGATTTTGGTTTTGATTTATGGGGGGTTTTTTGTTTTGTTTTGTTTTGTTTTTTTTGCAACTGTTCATTTAACCTTGAATGTTTCTGGAGGCCTCTCTGGGTTTTGTGAAAACCTAACCTGTTCATGAGCACTAGTACTTGCAAAGTATCTGTTTGCTTCTAGATGCTGTAATGGAAATACCAGTTGGTGGTTAACTGGAAAATCCTCTAACTTAAAATTTTTAAAGGTGAACTCCCTCATAGGCACGAATAACAAGAACACCATAGACTCAATATTTGAAGTAATGGTTCTGATGGCTCACTGGCAGGTGGAGTTTGAAGCTTGGCTCAGTTGCCTTGCAGTCTAGAATTAAGTTGTTTCATCTTTGGTGAAGAAGTTGCTGCAGCAAAGACCAAACTTGAATTGCTAATATAAAAGGCTTGTAATACATAGAATAATGTAGGTTTTAGAAGTTGGAAGGCATCTGTATTTCAGTGCTTTGCAAAGAGTCTGTATTTCTAAAATCACAAATGGTGTACTCCTAAATGACAATAAAATGTTCAACTTTTTCTAGATGTACTGTCTCTGGTGCATTTTGTGTGTTGGAGTAGACTGTTCCCAAGTTTCTCCTTAGGAACTGTTTCTTATTCAAAGGATGCTTCGGTTCTGTGTGCTCGTTGCACGTGGTGATCGTGGTCTGCTGTGCTTAAATATTGATGATCTCACACCATGCTCAGTGTCAGTTTGCACCAGTGTCATGTTCCAGTCTTCACTGCTGTGGCTGGATCTCAGTCTGAGACCTGCTGTGGCTGGAGTTCTCCAGTGCTGCATCCCAGGTGTCACCTCTGCTCAGTGCCGATGGCTCTTTGCCTCTTCTCTCGCAAGGGCACTTCAGAGAGTTTTGTTGACCACAGCAAGAGGTGTTTGGGGTGAAAATTCAAGATGTCTTCTCCCTTCTACTCTCACTAGGTGAATAGATTCACACACACACAAAATTATTGCTATTACGATTTTGGATCCTGAAGCTGATTTTTTTTTTAAATAAACTAATTCCTTACAGGTGCTTGGCCTTGGCTTGGGTTTGGGTTTGGGTTTGGAATATTTTTATTTTTTGTAAGTTCAAAGGTTTAAAATTAAGTACTTGTCTTTTTCCTAAAAATATATTTTAATTAATTAAGACACCTGGAGCTGTGAAACCTTAATGAAAAGCCTGGTTTTCACAGACTGAGCACAGTACTTGTCCCCCTTCTTTCATCCATCTCCCCCCTCCCTTCTTCCTTCATCTCACCCCTTCTTCCATCTCCCAGTGCCAGTAGGTCGAGGGAGGAAATCCTGCCCCTCTACTCTGCCCTGGTGAGAGGCTGCAGCTGGAGTGCTGTGTCCAATTCTGGGCTCCTCAGTACAAGAGAGACGTGGAGCTCCTGGAGCAGGGCCAGTGCAGGGCTACAGGGATGACTGTGGGACTGGAGCATCTGTCTGAAGGAAAGGCTGAGGAAGCCGGGCCTGTTCAGCCTCAGAGAAGAGAACTGAGCGGGGATCTCATCACTGTCTGTAAGTGTCTGAAGGGACGGTGCCAGGACGAGGGAGCCAGGCTCTGCTCCATGGTGCCAAGCAATAGTACAAGAGGCAGAAGCTTACACACAGGAAATTCCACTTAAATGTGAGGAAGAACACCTTTACTGTGGGAGAGACTATGCACGGGGACAGGTTGCCCAGAGAGGTTGCGGATCTCCCTCACTGGAGGTATTCAAGAACCGTCTGGACTCACTCCTGTATCCTGGGCTCCCTCACGCCCCTGCTTGAGCAGGGAGATGGGACCAGAGGGCCCCCCTTGTGCTCCTTTCCCACCGCCCCGGCTCTGGCATGCTGTGATTCCTCCGGCCCGCAGGGGGGCGCTGTGCCCGCGCCTCCCGCTCGCCGCCGAGAGCGGCCCTTCCTGGCGCGGCCCGGCCCGGCCCGACCCGACCGAGAGCGCTGAGGGCTCCGCTCCGCCCGGGGCTCCGCTTTGCCCGGGGTCCCTCCCGCCGCTCGGCCCGCCGCCGCCCGCCGACATGAAGCTCGTCAGGTGAGCGGCGGGGCGCGGATGGGGGCCGATGGAGGCGGATGGATCGCGCCCGCCCGCGCTCTGGGGGCGGGAGCGGCCCCGGGATGGAGCCCGGGAGGCGCTGCTGGCGGCGGGGCCCCGCTCTGCCCGGTCGCGCTCCCGCCCCAGGGCCTGCGCGGGTCGCTCAGCAAAGCCCCCCCGGTTTTGGGGGGGTAACTCCTTCCCCCCTCGCGGTAGGGATAGCGTTGATTTCCCGGGATGCTGACAAGCCGTAAAATGGTTCCTCCTTTGTATAATAATGGCCGTCTCGCCGGGAAATAGGTGCTGGGACCGGCAGCGGCCCAGCTTGCCGCGGCTGGGCGGGATGTAGGGTTTGCCGCTAAAACATTCCCAGCGGAATCCACGGGCGCCGTCTCGGAGAGCTCGGGATGAGCAGATGTTGGGTGTGCGCGCTGTTAAACGCGTACGGCTCTGTGTGGGAGTGAAGGGGGTTGGGTTTTTTTTTTTGAACACGTTTTGAATTCCGCAGGTTTCTGATGAAGCTGAGCCATGAGACTGTGACCATCGAGCTGAAGAACGGGACGCAGGTGCACGGAACGATCACAGGTACGGCAGGATGGGAGGCTGTAGCCAAGTGTTCCCAGGCGCCTTTCGCCAAACAATTGGCAGCCACGGCTCGGATTGAGCTTTTTTTTTGTCCTGTGCTCCCTCTTGCGGGGAGCCGCGCTGGAAGATGAGCTTTTGAATTCGCGTATCTTGTGTGCAGGCGCGAGGTGCGTTTGTGTTTGTGCCTGGGTATTGTCGGAAGTTGCTGGGAAGAGCGAGGAGCTGTGACCAGCCAGCCTTCCGTAGGCGACCATGAAAATACTGGGGAATATCAGCGGGTTAGAGGTTGTCTTTGATATGTGCTAGTGGGTGAGTTCACCCGTGGTTAGGCCAGGGTATATTTTGTGATTAGCTTTCCTTGGTTTTAAGGCGCTGCTGGGAGGCTGGAAATTCACTGTAGCACTGGGAGCCTCTGAGCCTGACTGTGGGCTTTGCCTCCAAACAGGCTCGGGGGGAAGGAAGTGAACTTCCCCAGACTGTTGCAAAGCTGGTGCGTGTTGTAATCTCTTAGGATGTTAGCAGCATGACCACAGAATCATGGAATGGTTTGGGCTGGAAGGGACCCTAAAGATCAGCTAGTTCCAACCCCAGCGCCGTGGACTGGGACACCTCCCGCTAGACCAGGTTGCTCAGAGCCCCATCCAGCCTGGCTTTGAGCACTGCCAGGGATGGGGCATCCACAGCTTCTCTGGGCAACCTGTTCCACTGTTAGTGTTGATGAGGTGGTTTTGCTGCTGTATCGAACAGGTAGTGGGGTAGGCCTCTAAACCTCTGTGAGATGTTTCAGTACTTCTGAATTTCACTTGTGAAAATGCAACAAGCAATAAAAACGTTGCAGCTGAATCACCCGAAGAGGGACTTATTTTTTTAATGGTGTCACAAATAAATGCCAAACGTTCAGTGATGGTGTGGTCTCAGGTTGGTTGAATTTTGTACATAGGCAGTCTAATCAAAAACATAATTATTTCTGTTGAACATGTTTTTGGTCTGTATAAGGTGAACTTAGATGCAAATACATATTTACATTGATTTAATAAGAATGTGAGTTTGAAAATGTGAAGCTGGATATGAGATTCAGGGCAAAAAGGAATCCTGTCAATGAGAATAAGCCCCCCTGCTGTTGCCAGGGGTCTGTCATGTTAGTTTGTGGGTGTTATTGTTTACCAGGTGGTTTGTTTCACTAAACTGAAAGTTGTAGGGAAAGTCTGTATGATTTAGTATGTGGTTCTCATGTATTAAAAAATGTGCAGACTGTTTTGTTTGCTTTAATAATCTCAGTGAGGGACATTGTTCTGAGGGTGTTCCTGTGAGCTTTCCTTCAGAGACATCAGGTACAGGGGTGGTGCACATTGTGTTTAACAAGGCAAACCTTCACAGGTGAGCTGAGGAAGGTGCCTTATCTCCTTTCCTACGCTCACCTCGGGCGACTTTTAGAAGCTCTTCTGCCCAGGCACTCTTTAAAAAAAAGTACAACTCCGTCAAGTTTGAATTTTACTCCAGAGGATTGCTTAGGTGCTTTTTTGGCCAGTAGCAATCTGTGGAGATTTGTCAGAGTTCAAAACGGGCATTATTTTGCAGCCTGGTCCATCGGTTCTGATTAGAGGTGAGTGCACCACCCTGGTACCCGATTGCAGCATGCTCTGTTGAACCCAGCCAGGTGGGAGGCAAACACACTGCTGGTCTCCTGACCTCACTGCTCTTTCAGGCTTAATTGTTGAGCAAAGCTGCTCTCATTTTCTGCTAAGAACCAGCAAAAACTTGGAATGCAGTCCATATTTCTCAAACTGCAGTCTTCCCGTTACAGCGGTGGGTGAACTGTGTTCGTAATTGTTGAGCTGTTGGATTGTGCAGTCTCCTCTTCTGGGCTGGCCAGAGCTGGGCTGCCAAAGGGGCAGGTTTCATGTGGTGCTCCTTACATGAGCCAGGTGGAGTGGAGGGGCCAGAGAGCTCTGTAAAATCCAGACGGAGGGGGATGAGGATAGAGGAACTACATGGAATAAGCACAGCACAGTGGTTCTTCTGGTTCTGGCC